AAAAAAATTAAAAAAAAAAAGAATAGTACAATGAACACCCAGCTACCCAATTATTAGCACTTTTGCCATATTTATTTTCTCTTTCTCTTTTATGTGTGTATGTTTGGCATGTATATTTGTTTTTTTAAATCTTATTTTCAATTATAAGAACCAATTAAGAGTAAATTGTAGACATCATGGCTTTCACTTTTAAATATTTAAAGCATATATTGCCTAAGAAAAAGGTCACTTTTACATAACCACAATATATTTATTAAATTTGGGAAATTTGATATTGACACAATACTCTTATCTAATAGACAGTGAATATTCAAATTCCACCAACTGTCCCAGTAGTGTCCTTTATAGCAATATTGTTTGTCTACCTAGAATCCAACTCAGGAGCACGAGTGGCATTTGACTGTTCTCGCAGATTTTTAGGCCTTTTATCTGTGCTTTTTGTTTGAAAGTTAAAGAAGAGTGGCTAAGAAAGAGGAAGTGGACACCACTGAGGGCAGGGCCCCTCAGACAGGTAATTTAGAAGAGTAGGGAAGGGCAGCCCTCCCTGTTAAAGTGATTTGTTTATAACACCGCAAGCCAGAGTACCCACTGGAAAGACTTTGTGTTACCTCAAGGACACCTGAAGTTGGAAGGTAGCTCATCTTTATACCCCAAAACAGAGACATAGTTCTTAAAGTGGTCTATGATGGACTAATTTAATCTTTAATTTCAGTTTCCTCCCTTTCCTCTTTTAAGAGAGTTACTGCTTCAGAGCAAGTAGATGTAGAACCTGTAGATAGTTCTGGAAAAGGATTTAGAAATTGCTTATGGTTTTAAGGGCAAAACAACAATGACCTACAATTCTTCAGGGCTTTATGTTTCTTCCTACTCTATTATGTTCAGTATTTTGTCACTGTTGAGGCTGCATGAAGACAAAATTTTAAATGTAAGGAAAAATTTTAAACGTGGCAGAAATAGTGAAAACGAATTGCTTCATCATTACCCCCCATTCTCATGTTAGATTGAATTAAAAATATTGGAATAATGTCTGAATTTTAAATATGATGCAGAGATATTTAATTTTTAAATGACTTGGGTCTTAGAAGGAACTTATTACATGTTTTTAATGTACATTATCAATACATGACAAATTACATTCTTCCCAAGATTTTACAAGGAAAAGCTGAAACAAAAATAAGAATAAATTGGATACATTTAAGCTAAAATCCCAAGGGCATTTGATCTTCTTAAAAAATTCTAAAATGTTTATTTCATAACTGGAGAGTCAAATAGTTTGCCTATTATATTTTTCCTTTGAGGACTCTGTCCTTCTGCAGAAGTGGAAAAAATGTGTTTAAATCATCTCATGTCTTTAGGCCAAACAAATTGATTTATTTCATTCTTTCAACATTTGAAAAAGATGCAGGGCTTCAAAGAAGATAACACTTTTGGTTACCATCAAGACTATGTCTTAAAGCTTTTTTGGTAAGTAATTTACCCAAGAGAACTAGAACAGGTAAATGAGAATTTGAGAGAAAAAAAGATGTGGTTGCTTTGTTTTGTTTACATTTATTGAGTACGGAATGAAGATACCAATTGGGTTGAGAAAAAATTCAAGTGAGCCATTATGAAATCTAATCTTCAGAAGACAGTCCTTAGGCAATTAACATGATCATGCCATTTTAAAGAAAATGAATCCAGCTGAAAATTGCAGAAATAAAAGCCTAATTTCCTCTCAGCAGCCAAAAAACAAAAACAAAAACAAAAAAAACACCTACCTCATCTGACCTCATTTTAACAAAAGGCAGAGGCTTAAAAGCGTCATTACAGTTTGGGGTAGAAACTAACTTCATCTGTCTGGGGTGAGACAGACCTGTTGGGAAAAGCTAAACGAACAGAGAAGCTCTGTGGCCAAGAGAAAAATTGTTCGTTCAAAAAATGACTGAAGCCAAGACCAAGCAAATACTTATGATCAGGCTTGTCCTCGGGTCTGTTTTATAATGTTGGTGGAGGGAAATCGTACCCTCTTCATTTCACTTGTCACTTGTCATGGTTAAATGAAGCATGACTCTTCTTTAGGGCTGATTATAAATAAAAGTAGTCAATACAGATAAAAGAATGAAGATGGTCAAGTCTTGAAAATGGGTGCTTAATTTTCCAGTGTTCTCAAACTGAAGAAAAGTCTCCCCCTGCCCTTTTTTTTTTTTAAACGAAGACACACAAATGTGTGAGAAAACAATCTCTTCTTGAATAAACCAGTAATTGTTGATTTTGGCAAGTACAACTGGGCAAGAAGCTGTCCCTGCAGCAGTATTTCTGGACTGCAAAGATATGTGATGACACGTTTAGTGAGGCTGGAGATAACACATAAAAAAATATATTTTATTGTCTTCAGGCAATTTTGAAATGGATGGACTTGAGGATTCTCATTTCAGTTCTTGTAAATAAAGCTCAAGTTATTTTGAGTATATTAAATAAATCTAATTTGCATGTAACAGGAAGAAGTTAAAGTTTACTAAGCAACTATTTGTGCCAGGCCCTACGTTGGGCATATTATATATACTACCTTATTCAGCCACCACAAAAATTCTTCAAGATAGGTATTTTTATCCCATTTTCACAGGTAAGGTAACTGAAGAAAAACTCACAGAATACTGAAGTGCTAATTTGATACATAGCAATCATTATTTTTAATTAAAATTATAATGAATTTCAATCATTAATAGTTGACTTTGATAGTTTTCTTTCTCCTCCTGAGATGCAGATATTTTTGTATTTATCTACTTCTGTATCATTTTATGTATCTACTTTTTGAAAAATGGCACATATATTCAGGGTAAGGTGATGGGCATAAAAAATCAAAACTAAGCCAACTGGTGCACATGAGAATTAAATCCATAATTCTAATGTTTTTACTACATCAGCAAAAAATCAATGTGGTCAGACCAAGAAAACAAAACAAATGGTCTTACCTCACTGTAATTTATTTTATTTTGTCTTGCCAACATAATTTCAGGTGTATCAGGCATGATGTGAATTTGGGTCTTGTCTTTGTCCCAGGCTTCTGTGTATAAGCGCTGTGAATGATCAACAGGTTAATGAATGAGAAAAACAATGTTGTAAATAAGAGTTTCTAATTTAGAGTTCATGACAAAGTTGGAAGCCAGGCTCCTCCCTATCTATGCTGTGTACTTTATACCAACACTCCAAATCTCTTTGCTATTACAAGATATTTATTGCCACTAAATGGAAACATAGACTAAGATATGAAAAGAAAACCTGTATGTGTGTTTTGTTACACTATCACCTCCAATTATAAGCAAGTATTTTCCAAGCATACATACCATATGCACTGTGGTTACATTAAATCCTTCCCATGGTTTTGTTTGTTGTTTGTCTGTTAATGGCAAATGTAACTGGATATGCCATCTCCAGATTTCTTTTTGATGAATGTTATGGAGATTCGCATTGACTTGCTAGTTTTGTACTCACTTAGATAAATACCCAATGGGAAAGAAACCTTGATATCAAACCATGTATTACTCTCATTGACTTCAAACAAACTGAACACCAAACACCTGTCCTATTCTTAGCTCTGGCTCCTTCACAAGAGATGTCAAAGCAGAAATTCCCACATACATTTTTGGAATCCTAACATAACTGAATAGAAAATGCAACCAAACCACTAAAGACAATATGGCAATTGTAAAACAATTAAAAGACTAAATTAACCATAGATATTCTCAAGGGCATATGGTTCTACTTTAGTTTCCCCCAAACTGGGGACTCACCTTGCTCATATTGATGGCATTGTTCTTGGCCAGCACCTGTTCCAAGGAATCAGGCACACTGGTAAATTTCAGCGTGTCTGGAGGCTGGCGGTAGATGTTGTCACTCAGTATCTCTGCAGCTCTCTTGCACTTGACCACATCCACAGACCCAATAGGGACCCAGCCAATACCTCTCAGCCACTGGAGATCTGATTTGTAAATGTTCTGGTGAGATCAAACGCAAAAGCAAGTCTTAGTTAAGCTGTAATGACACTTGATTTTAAAAATGAAAGAAAAAGACTGAAAAATTTGGGGTGCCTGGCTGGCTCAGTCAGAGAAGCACATGACTCTTGATTTCAGGGTCATGAGTTTGAGCCCCATGTTGGGTATAAAGATTACTTAAAAATTAAAAAAAAAATTCTTAAAAAAGACTGAAAAACTTTAATAGCTAAACATCATGTCTATGTCTTTTCAAACATGAAGCCCAGGGGCACCTGGATGGTTTAGTTGGTTAAGCAACTGACTCTTGATTTCGGTTCAGGTCATGATCTCACTGTTTGTAAGTTTGAGCCCGGCATCAGGCTCTGCACTGACAACACAGAGCCTGCTTGGGATTTTCTCTCTCTATCTCTCTCTGTCCCTCCCCTGCTCTCTCTCTCAAAATAAATAAATAAACATTAAAAATATAAAATATGAAGCCAAATTAGATACACTTTCATGGGATCATGTTCTCTCTAAAAGAAAAGCAAAGCACAGTGAATGAGAGGTGGAGAGAAAAAATGTTATTACTTCTGAGGGCTCTAACTAATCCTAGACCATTATCTATGTATCACTGTGTATTACCATCGTAAGCATGGTCACTGGTGGTATACAACGGGTCTTAGTACTCACATCACTCTGGAGGTCATAGGCCCGCCGAGCATGGATGACGTCATTCTGGTCAGGCAGGCAAGTCCACTCGTGCAGGTAGTTCTTATAGTCCACATCACTGACTAAGGTCTGGCACTTCTTGGCCAGGACCACCCCCAACATGTCCACTGGGCTGCTGAACTTGGTCTTCCACTTCTCAAAGTCCTTCTTATATTCCCTGTCACTCTGGATCTTGGCCACATGCATGGACCACATCATCTTGGGGTCATCTTTGATGTCTCGGGCTCCAATGTGGTGGCCTAGTTGCTTGCGATAACCATCTTTATATTTGTACTGAAAAGTAGTCATTTAAAAGGCAAACATGTTAGAAAGGGCTAAAATCTTGGTGATTTAAAACATCATTATTTTAAATTTGGAACCATCTGAATACCAACTTGTTTCCTTATCCTAAACTCTGACTTGACTTCACAACAATACTCTAATGGGAAGACAGGGCCAACTACATATTTCTAAGGTTTTGCAGACATTAAGTCCCTGGAAAAAAAAAAAAAAAAAAAAAAAAAAGGCAGCAACACCTCCAGAAAATCAACTGGAAGCATAAACTACCTTTTCTTTATCTTGGGCCAGTGAAATCACTATCCCAGAAATTTTACATTTGATTTTGAGAAGGCTACTTCCCAGGCCACAGGTATCATATTACCTCCTCTGCCCACCCCTCCCACCTCCCAAATCTAGCTCTGTTGACTTTTCACTGCACCACCTGACTCCCTAAAATGGGCTGGCTTGCATTTTCTATTCAGCATACCCTGCTCTGTTGGAGATCAAATTTGGCTGGGGTTTCTTGGGATTCTTCAAGTGAGAAAACAGATTATATAACTACAAGAAAGCATTTTAGTGGTGGTGATGGTGGTAAGTGCTGAATGGATATTTTCTCTTCATTTTAGGAAATAACATCACACAAATCCTAATGTATATGTATAATTCTTCATCGAAGGACTCACTTCTTTCAGAGAGAGCAAGAAAAGAAATGAGGATCACCATTTTACTGTTTTTGGTTGTCTTTGTTTTTCTGTTTTCGTTTAAAAAGAGCTCAAAAGGAATCACTTAAGGTAATTTTCCAAAGAAAGAGTTGGCAAAGATCCAGAGCAAGATTAAGGAAAGATACATTTTCCTAGACCTGGCTGAACCAGGTCTTTTTCTGATATTGAGCCAACACATGTAACCAAATTATTATTTTTTTCTCTTCTGGCCTTTTCTTATTTCTATAAGAAATAGCTATAATTGTAGATATGAATAACTATAGATTCAAATTCAATTTTATAATAAAGTTTAGGACACCACCTCCACCTATGGGACCTGAATATTAAAGTTTTTGGAGTTAAAAATATAAAAGAGCTTTTTCCAGTGAAAAACATTTTTTTTTCATTTAAAGCACAATCTGTGTGCTTTAACTGGCACATAGATTCATCCCCCTGCTGTACTAATGATCATTTGCTCCCAATCCTATCCAGCCATGTACATACATGGAGTGTGGCTACTCACATCACTGACGATGTCCCTGGAGGCCTTGGCCGCCACGATCGGGATGGCATCACTTCGCAGGTCGTAGCCTTTCTTCTTTGCTTCTTCATTGGCGAGTTTATACAGAGTCTATAGAAAGAAAGTCAGAGTGAAAGTAAAAGGTTTGACAGCAACAATTTAGAGATTATTAAGTGACATGCCAAGTAATTTTAAAAAGGAGAGGGTCTGGAAACAACTAAATTTCCAGCAATTTCGAAAGTAAATTATATCTTACTGAAAAAACCCCATACACATAGCTTTAGAAATCAATGAGATCAATGGATATTTACATCGATTGATATTTTAATCCATCATATATGTTAAAAATTAATCTATAGCATGTAGTTTGTTATATTATGCATATCAACATATATTAATGTAATCTAGTAATCTAGATCAATTTACAGACCAATCTATACCTATTTCTAAGTGAAAAAATAATTGCAGAACAATGTTTAATATTGTTAGTTTACATATAAAATATATATGCTTACATACTTTCATTTCTTTATTGCTTAAAACATTTTCCACAATCATGTAATACTTTATAGTGCTTAAAAAAGAAAGGTGGAAAAAACTGAAGTACAATTTAAAACAGCTTAAGATTCTAAATTTTGTCTATATCATATTAGTAAAACATGTGCCTAAAGTAAATTGCATTTTACTTTAAAAAAACCCAGTGCTGTTAATAGAGAACACTTCTTTCCCACACCTGAAGCTTTCTTTCTATAGAAGAAGCTCAATTATTTTTCTCTGACCTTTCTCCTTTCTCTGCCCCTTTACTCTCTGCTGTGAATCACAGACTTACCGATTTATTTAACTAGCAGGGATGGGACGACTAGACACTTCCCACTCAGCTCAGACCCGCTCCCTCTGGGACTAAGCCCAGCCCCTTCTGTCTCTCTGGGCTCTAAGCCCTAAGACCTTACCCCTGAGGGGAGTGTAGCTAATTGCCCTTCTCTAGTGTGGCCTCTGACCAAATGGGAACCTAATTCTGAGGTTCAGTTAGGCTCATTTAGTTCTCATCCAAATGTATCCTTGAATTTAACTTTAGTTGTAAAAAATGTGAGATTTCAACTTCTATTCATACTCCTTTGTTTTACCTCTCAGTTGTACTGAGGATCCAGGTAGGGAAAAGTTACATATTATCAGAGGTCCTCTTGGGCAGATTGCCAGATTTAGCAAATAAAAAGATAGCAAGCCCAGTTGGACTTGTATTTTAGGTAAATGACAAATAGTGTGTCAGTGGAAATATTGGGTCACTAGTTTATCTGGCTATCCTACCCCCTTGGAGATGCAGAAAACACTACTCAGTCCCCTTGGCCCACACCAGCAATGGCTATAAACTAAAAATGCAACTTCAGTTTGTCCACGGAATCCTATAGCAGATAATATTCAACCTAGAAATAAAAGGCTAGATGGGCTGAGTGTTCACGTCACAGAGCCACAGGCACCATGATTGCTGTGGCACAGCAGCAACCTCCATAGAAGCAAGTACAGGAAAACAAACAGTGGCAACAATAAAACGTGTGGGGCTGCACCACAGGAGTTTGCCCTAACCTGGCTGTAGTTGAGCTGGTTCTGCCGTGCCAACGTGATCTCCGGGGTATCAGGCATTATATGAACTTGACTCTTGTCTTTGTCCCAGGCCTCTGTGTATAAACGCTGCCAAAGAAGATGTTGATAGAATACTATTTGAAATGGGAATTATAAAAAGTTAAGCATGATTATTATTAATCTAATTAGGAAAAACAAACCGAACTTGGATACAAGGTATTTAAATTGGAGGTTTGAGTCTTAACACTAGTGATCAAAGTTAAAATTGGGAATAACAGAAATTAGTTAGAGGATTTTGAGTATATAATTTAGGAGATAAATATGACCCTACACACACTTCAATGGATAATTTTAATGGCACTAGTCGTTAGAGTATGATAGCATCTTTTGGCATCTTAGAGAAGCTTGAGGTAGCTGGGGCTCACCTTGTTCATATTGATGGCATTGTTCTTGGCCAGCACCTGTTCCAGGGAATCAGGCACACTGGTAAATTTCAGCGTGTCTGGAGGCTGGCGGTAAATGTTGTCACTCAGTATCTCTGCAGCTCTCTTGCACTTGACCACATCCACAGACCCAATGGGGACCCAGCCAATGCCTCTCAGCCACTGGAGATCTGATTTGTAAATGTTCTGTAAAGACGAAAATGGAAGAAACTCTTCAGCAAGACTTAAAAGATTTATGGTAAAAATGCCAATGCAATCAGTAATAACGTACAATACTGGTAGTTGTCTTTTCGTGGAAAATAAGCTCATTGTGTTAGACACACTAAAGGAGGCACTATGTTCAAAAATGACCCAGAAACATCTCCTAGCCATAACAAAAAGTGATCATATATTTCTGGTGGTAAGGACAGGACTGATCCAAATTACTGTCAGTTCAGTGAATGTTATTATAATGCCCATGTGTACAGGAAAACAATGCCAACCCAGAGTGGGAGAAACCACAGATACGTCCAACTATAGCCTACCAGTAAATAAAGGTGAGGCCTAGTCAAATGAAATTCTCTGCAGCTACTAAAAGTCTTATTTTAAAGGATACTGATGACTTGTACAAAGGTACTTAATATAACATTACACGAAGGAAAACATAAAACAACGTATGTGGATAAATTACATGAGCAGGAGTGGGCTTTTTCAGTGGTTGGATTATGTTGGATTTCATTGCCTTCTATGTATTTTTTCTTATTTGTCAAAATATCTGTAGAGCGCTTTAGAAATAAACAACAAAAAAAGAATATATAATAATGATGTAGAGCCCCTGATACATTGAGGCAGAAATTCATGGCTTTAACACTGTCTGAAGCTCAGGGCAATTGTTGATCATTTCATTGGTCCAAGGCCCCAGATTCTTTCCACCAAGTTCTCAGGACAAGAAGGTGGACTTCTTGGGGTGCCTGGGTGGCTCAGTTGATTAAACATCCAACTTTGACTCAGGTCATGATCTCACGGTTCGTGCGTTTGAGCCCTGCATTGGGCTCTCTGCTGTCAGCATGGAGCACACTTTGGATCCCCTGTCCCCCTCTCTCTCTTCCCCTGCCCCACTCATTTTCTCTCTCTCTAAAAAATAAACATTAAAAATTTTTAAAAAAAGAAGATGGACTTCTTTCCAGAGTTGTCTTTCCATACCTTTCTCTCTTGATTTGTTGTTTTTAAACAAAAATCTGTGTTCTTTTTAAGTTTATTTATTTTTTTGGGGGGGAGGGGCAGAGAGAGAGGGAGACAGAGAATCCCAAGCATTCTCTGAGCTCACAGCACAGAGCCCAATGTGGGGCTTGAACTCCTGAATCGTGAGATCATGACCTGAGCTTTAATCAAGAGCTAGTATCTTAACTGACTGAGCCACCCAAGCATCCCTCTCTCAATTTATTTTACATCATTTCTCTGCTAAGGATTTTTGTTAACCCATTAAGTATTAACTACTTCACAGCAAAGGAATTGGACCTTTGCCCAGCTCATTTGAAGGATTTTACCCATAACAGCAACTAAGAAAATACAGACTGATATTTTGCAGTCTACACAAAAAGCCTATTGGAATTGGCCTAATGGATTACTATGTGGATTGCCCCCTAAATAACAACAGCAAGAATGAAAGCAATAACATTGTATACCTCTGGAGTGCTTTTTAACTTTCCAATGACTGTTAACTTTCAAATAACCATTAAGGCCCCATCACAGTGTGGGGGAAATTGATTTTGAAAAGGCACTCAGCAAATAGATGTAAGCAGTCTGTCAATGCTGTCAACTCCATGGGTGGCATTAACCATTTTAACTCATGTGCAGGCAAAGCTTTTCTTTTCAGACACAATTGCAAAACACAGGGTTCTGTATGTCAAAAACTACAGAACAGATGTGGGCATTTTCACAGGTGGGCTGTACAGTTTTTAGTAATGGCCAATTAATTTTAAAAATTAATTTAATTAAAATAATTAAACATAGATATAAAATAAATTAAAAATTAACTTTATTTTCCAAAATCCTCTAATGCTTAAAGAATTTCTTTAAGCTTCAAACATTTGTAAACTATGTGCTGTAGGAAACGTGCTTTTCACACCCAGATTTGATATTAAAAGCAGCAGCACTAGCTACCATGTGACCCCTCTACAGAGAGCTGTGCTAAGAGAAGAAAATGTCAGTGAACTGATCCAATAGCTTACAAATACAGCAACTTCTTTTGTTTCATAATAATAACAATTAGCACTGTAACAGGCATTAGAATTCTACTAATTATAACCTTATCTGGTTTGCAAAGAAGCTAAAAAAATTGAGTATTTTTTTTTAATAAAAATGTGTTGTTTCTACCCCCTTAAAAGAATAAAAGAAAATGTCTCCACCTGGTGGACTCTGAACATTGCTTAATTCCAGTTTTGTTTTTAAAAGACCAAATCCAGTTTGTAAACTTCCCTTCCTTATAAAGCCTATTAAATGTACACATAATAAAGCAATAAAACTATACACTGATTCAAATCTCATTCACTGATCAATAAGTCCTAGCTTAAGTATGCCAATGGGTTGCATATAAAGGATAACTTTATATAGCTGAACACAGCTCTTTTATAGATGCTGTACTCACGTCACTCTGGAGGTCATAGGCCCGCCGAGCATGGATGACGTCGTTCTGGTCAGGCAGGCATGTCCACTCGTGCAGGTAGTTCTTATAGTCCACATCGCTGACTAAGGTCTGGCACTTCTTGGCCAGGACCACCCCCAACATGTCCACTGGGCTGCTGAACTTGGTCTTCCACTTCTCAAAGTCCTTCTTGTATTCCCTGTCACTCTGGATCTTGGCCACATGCATGGACCACATCATCTTGGGGTCATCTTTGATGTCTCGGGCTCCAATGTGGTGGCCTAGTTGCTTGCGATAACCATCTTTGTATTTGTACTGAGACAAAAACACACAAATGAGGTTTTTATCATAAGCCCTTGAAGGTCAAAAGTCTGTACAAAATCACCTTGCTTATGTCAAAATTATAAGTTGACTTTTTCTAATAAGCACTAACTCAAGCTGCTATCCTGACCTTTATGCTTGAAGCTTGTAGAGCTAAGAAAATAGATGGAATCTGTATAATTGCAGTGCATATTCAAAATCACCTATGGCTTGGTAATAAGGAATGATTCTTGAGGCAGGTAGTGCTCACAGGGGGAAAGGCCATTTGAATAAGGGAACTTGGAGAAATGAATTTTAGGCACTAAAAGTATGTCAGGAAAGAGTCGCACTTGGTAACATGGTGTGCATAATAAGTCATAGAATGGGTACCTGGTTCCTAGAAGGATGAAGTACTCTATGTCAAGGACCTAGTTTAGTATTAGTATACTAGTTACTTACTATACTATCATAAAGTAACAGTATACCATTAGTGTACTAATATAATACTAGTATTATTATACTAGTAAAGCTGATATAGCAGTCCAACTGGTTAGAGCATGCTTCAGAAAATGCATGGGTTCTACCCCCACATGGGCCAAGAATGTTTTTACTATTCCAAGTCCAATGATGTTGTCCTGGGATCTGAGCCAGTTATTCAAAACACATGCCTCTAGCCTCAAAGATAGCTAAGTAAGAAAGTATAGATGGGTCAGCAGGAGGCGATATGGTACAACAGGAAGTAATGAGGTTGTCTGGAGTTTCAACTCTACCACCTACAAGGAGTTTGATTTTAGACAAGTGGCTTAAGCAACCCACAAAACAGGGATAATGACAATGCTTACATCCTAGGATAGTTATGAAGTGTAAGTAAGATAATGCATGTCAAGCTCTTCACATAGAATTCTCAAAACTTCCTAGTTATTCCTGTTATTGTGGTTGACATAAATCCATTTGTGGGTGCAGTCCAACATACCTACACTAAAGGGAGTCACTAACCCAACATCATGGGCAGCGAATTATCATATTCCAAAATAGTAGGCCTTGATATTTAGAGCAGTGGTCTGTTCCTCAAGAATCTCCTGAGGCACCATGAAAGGTTGATGGTTTTATTCAACCTGTGCTAGACAGCCAGGAGCTGTTATTAAGGGTGCAAGCTTGGGCTAGTAATCACCTCTGGTATAGATCAACTGCCTTCTTTTTCAATCTTAGAAGGGTGAATTATAAAGTCAAGTGTCATATGAATTTTGTGAATATTATATATTAAAATGTTATACAAAGACAGGATCTGATTCTCACTGGGAGTACTTAAGTTTATGAGTTATACTTTCCATAAGCACGGCGTTAATTTTTAGATCTCCAAGCTTGCAGCTGTACTCTAATAATTTCCATGAATGGATCTTTCTCTGATTTTGGTGGGTCAGTTTTCATTGAACATACTGTATCCTAAAAATTATAAACTGCTTTTTGAACATCGAATTTTTCACTTCCTTCAAAACCAGGTTTTTGAAAAGCCCATATGAATACATTAGGACATATTTCCAAAGGGTGAGGAAAGTTCTTTTTGAAGATTTAGTTCAGTATAAGTGTCACTTCAGACTGATTATATACTTGGGGCAACACTGAAACTCACATCACTGGCGATGTCCCTGGAGGCCTTGGCCGCCACAATTGGGATGGCATCACTTCGCAGGTCATAGCCTTTCTTCTTTGCTTCTTCATGGGCGAGTTTATACAGACTCTAAATTTGGGCAAAAAAATATATAATTATACATCAGTTAGATGTTGACTTTCATATCCAAAAACTGACAGGGGCCTAAAATAATTCACTAAGTTCTACACAGCTAGGTGCCTATAATAATCTTATTCTGAGAGGTCTAAGCCTTTGCACTGTTTGCTAAAGACTTAAAAATGATACGTATATAGAACACTGCAGCTTTGTTTTGTATTTTAAAACTTATCTTGAGTTAATGAAACATAAATATTACCCAGTGTTTCAAAATTTTTTGTTACAACCATGAATCAGGTTTTTTTTTTAAGTTTATTTATTTTGAGAGAGACAGAGACAGCATGAGTCAGTGAGGGGCAGAGAGAGAGGGAGAAGAGAATCTCATGCAGGCTCTGCAGTCAGCATGGAGCCCGATGTGGGGCTTGAAGTTACGAAACCATGAAATCATGACCTGAGCTGAAGCCAAGAGTCTGACGCTTAACCAACTGAGCCACCCAGGAACCCCCTCATGAATCAGGTTTGAAGAGATCTAAAAAATTAAGCTGAAACTCATGGGCTTAAGGTGGCAAAATGTGGATAAGAGGCAAAGACTTGATCATGGAAATTAATTCACTCTACACCTATTGTGCCCCAACTGTGTGCTGTGAATGTGCTGGGTGCTTGGGAATCAAAGATGAGTATGAGGCCTCTCCCATCATCAGGGTTGCAGGGGGAAGTTATGGAAAGACTGATAACCCACAGAGGAGGCTACCAATAGAGGTGATTTAACCATATTATTAGCAAAGAGCTCCAGGAAGGAGTAATTAATCCTAAATTAAGAATCAGGAAAGTTCCTGCAGTGGGATTGATCTTTGCATTGGACCTTGAGTGATGAGTATGATTTCAGTAGACTGGAATGGGAGTCAGGGGCAGAGGGAGTTGCATGAATCAAAGCACAAGGAAGTGATGGTGCAGGGGTGTCAAAGGAAGGCGGGGGGAGCAGTGCCAGGGACAAGTACAAGAGAGGACTGAAAAGAATCTGGAGTTGGACTGAAGGCTTGGTGCTAAAATAAGTTTGTGCTTAATTACATAGGAAATAGGAAACCATCAACAAACTTTGAGGGAGAGTGACGTAATCAAATCTGCATTTTGTCTTCCTATCCTCAATGAGATAAAAATTACAAAAGAATCGAACTAAGCTGAGAGAGAAAAGCCCGAGAAAGCAGATCAGGCAGGTTAGGCATTCAGTTCAGGGCGTTCTCCTTAGGTAACTCTTCTAACCAACAGCAACACTACAGCATCTCTGAACTTTTGCAGCAAAGACAGAGTCCAGAATTCCAGAAATGCTGAGTGGCTAGTTACAGAGGCTCTTTGTCTCCTGAGATTCTAACACATGCAATACATGCTTTCCTGTAACAATACAGGACTTATATCATAGGTTTTGCTAAAAAATTCACTCCTTTTTGCTTTGCAAGTAGGACTGGATGTTTTTCGTTTCTGGTGACAATTGAGAGTTAGTTACGTAAGTGCTAAAATTATAGTTTGCACTTCCCAAAATAAAATGAATTAAGAGGGTGGCTCATCTAGCTAAATCCTCTAACTTATGTCATGCAGAAGAGTAATATATTGTTGACTTATGTTTTCAAATAAACAATATTTTCTTTGCTGGTAGCACAAAGCTGGGAGAAATAACTCATACATCAGCTGACAGAAAAATCAGATTCACAACAATCTCCACGGGCTTAAACCAATAGGCTTAATCTAAGAAGAAGAAATTGCACAGAGATAAATGTTAATCTTTGAACTGATTTTCAACTGAATTTAAGTTGCCAAATGTGTAAATTCAGGCTAGAGGAAACCTAGCTTAAGCCCATGCAAAATGTCTTAGGGTTTCAGTCGATCCAAGTTCCATGTGCCCTGGCAGTGATATTGCTGCCAATGTGCCCTGAGGCACAGGGCGCAGAAATGGAGGCCAAACGTCCGTAAGAGGCAATATGATGTCAACTATATTCTATACTTGCAGGATTTTGTTTGGTTTGGAGGGTCACATTCTAGCAGGAGTGTCATGTGAGGAATGCCCAGGAGCTGTGGATGTTTGGATGAGAAAGAGAACTTGGGGTGAGGTGGCAGGGGAGGCACCAGAGTAGCTATCCTCATCTCTGTGGAGTTGGCAGAGATTGGTTTTGCACAGCCTCAGAAGACTACAGAAGTCAGCAGAGAGAAATCTTTGACTCAGTACATTACAAGCATCTTCTAATGGAATTTTCCAGAATGAACGGGCTGATTTAGGAGATAAATTCCTTGTCACTAACAACACTTAAGCAAAGGCAGGATGACAACCTGTTGGGTGGGGACTCTTGTAGTAGAAGAGGAGCTGACCTCTTGGGTTAAACATCTGTGGTTCTGACATGAAGGTACATGGCCCCATGCTCACAGAGGGTGGAAAGGAAATGGACTCGCTGATATATACCCTGGCAGATCCCCTGTTTCTGTTTCTTTCTCTCAGTATTATTTGATAATACTGTAATTTTAGTTCCTGACTTAATTTTATACATTCAAAATCTTAAATTTTGCCTTTAAACCACAATTTGGAAAAAGGAAATCATATATGGAAGATAGATATAGCACAGTGATACAGCATTAGGAGGAGATAAATGTACAATCTATTGCTAATTTCCCAATTTAAACAAATTAATAAAAGAAAAAGTTTTGATTTTTCTTATGGTTACTGCTTAAATCATTAGTTCTTATTATTGTCACTTTGTAAGGGATCATTTGCATTACTTGAAGTGTGATGTTTAGGATGAGGATTCAAAAATGCAGGAGTTGCTATTCACACCAAGCAAGAAAAAAGATTCTTTATACAATTGTTATTTAGTATTACATCACCTTGGACAGATTAACTGAAATCAGAAATCGCATGCAAACTTCATAGAATTAGTATCTGCTCGTACCTCACTGTAGTTGATTTTGTTCATCCTTGCCAACATAATTTCTGGTGTGTCTGGCATGATGTGGATCTGGGTCTTGTCTTTGTCCCAGGCTTCCGTGTATAAACGCTATCAAAGAAAATATGTAATGTCATCAGGAAAAAAATTCAGTGTGTAGTTAATAAGAATTTCAGGGGCACAAGAACTTTATAAACAAAAATAACAAAAGGTTATACATTTTATACACATTATGTATGGTAGATACATCTTCAAGTAATCAGTTCATAGAACAGATGTTTGAGTGCCTTATGATAATCTGAAATGTATGTTAACAAAAGGAAATTGAGAATATCTTTTATGCAAAGATGATCTTCCATAAAAATGTCTTTTTCTCAAAACCATAAATTACTGAAGTAAATACTAAATATAAATGACACATATATCAGATAAATAGATACAGATGGATAGATAGATAGATAGTCTTTTGTTGATAAATGCTTTCTTTCTTTTCTTGATTATATTTCTTTTTCTTCGATTTTGCTGTCAGGAGTCCTGCGTTGGTTCTCTGAATTTGAAGCCTCACCTTGTTCATGGTAATGGCATTATTCTTGGCTAACACTTGTTCCAAAGAATCAGTCACACTGGTAAATTTGAATCTGTCTGGAGGCTGGCGATAGACTTTATCACTCAAAATTTCAGATGCCCTTTTGCATTTTTCCACATCCAAAGAGCCAATAGGAACCCAGCCGATGCCTCTCAGCCATTGGAGATCCGACTTGTACATATTCTGTTGACACAAAATAGTCAGTAAAATTTTATCTTTGCATTGGGAAAACATTTTCATCTAAACGATATGAAATAAAGAATACTCTTGAAAATACAGTTTAATGGACAGGCAGCATATCAGACAATACTCCTTTTTGGTCTGGAAGGTTAAATAATTAATACTCACAAGGAAAGAAGAAATGCTATTCCTGCCTTGCAGGAGCTGGTAAGCTTGGTTCCACCTATTGCTACCTTCTCCAAGGGGTGTTAATTCACTGATTTCCTACCTTTGCATATCATTATGATTCTCAGATACTAACATCACTCTGGAGATCATAGGCCCGCCGAGCGTGGATGACATCATTCTGGTCAGGCAGGCATGTCCACTCGTGCAGGTAGTTCTTATAGTCTATGTCACTGACTAAGGTCTGGCACTTCTTGGCCAGAACCACCCCCAACATGTCCACTGGGCTGCTGAACTTGGTCTTCCACTTCTCAAAGTCCTTCTTGTACTCCCTGTCACTCTGGATCTTGGCCACATGCATGGACCACATCATCTTGGGGTCATCATGTATTGCTCGGGCACCAATGTGATGGCCAAGCTGCTTACGATAGCCTTCTTTGTACTTGAACTAGAAGAAGAAATACAGACAGTCAACTATTTTAGCTTTTAGTAAAAAGCAATTACTAGGCCCCAATTTTCCTGTTCATTAAAAATATAATGATTTCCTCTTGAACATATACATACATGCACTTTGTAAACCGTTTAGAAAATAAAGAATACATATATGTACACAAAAAAAGAAAACAAAGACATTATTCTACCACTCAGTGAAAACCATTATAAAACTGCTTTTTGTAGTGTGTGTGTGGGTGGGTGGGTAGGCGGGTGGGTGTATGACAGAGAGTAAAACTGAATAGGAGTCATATTGTATATACCTGCTTTTTTCATTTATTGCATAAGCATTCCTCTGTGTCATTAAATATTCTCTACAAACATGAATTTTAATGGCAGCAGGTATTACATTATGTTGGTATATGTTAATACTTTTAACCTTTCTCTGATTATTGAACACTTATTTTTAAATTATGATGGTTACCTTCCCATATTTTGGAAATAAAGAAAATATTTTTGACTTTATAGACTAATGAAATAGAAGGATAAACATTTCTAGAAACGTGAGCCAAGCCATCACTTAAAATAAATATTGGCAACCAGTCACTGGACACAGAAATAAACATATGGTACGTGTGGATGGACTATGAATAATGTGTCCCATTCCCTCAGCCCTTGTAGGTTCACTGGTTCATAAGGCATGTGTTTTTTTCCTGAAGGAATCCTACAATGAGTTCAATTGTATATAAGAATATATCAGGTGGAAAAGCCCAAAGGATGTCTAACTATAGTCAAGTATCTAATGCTTTAATTCAGCAGGAAATGGACAATATTTTGAAATACATCTATGGACTCAATCATACCTTTGTGTTGACAATTTTACTACCATTATTAAAAACTATTTACTTAGAAAAAAGACTGTTAGCAAGAACTTTAACCTCATAGCTTACTTGCCCTACTATATAACCAGGAGAGAGAAAGCAATCTTTGAGCCAAAGCCAAGGCAAAGAAATTTTCAGGTGCACTTACTTCACTTGCAATGTCTCTGGAGGCCTTGGCTGCCCTGATGGGAATGGCATCCAATCGCATATCATAGCCTTTCCTCTTGGCTTCTTCTAGGCCAAGTTTATATAGTTTCTGAAAAAGACATAGATCATCATAGGTTTGATTCGTAAAGTGCAGCATAAGCAAAATACATCACGTACCATGAATATATTACTTACCTCACTATAATTTATTTTGTTTTGTTTAGCTAGTAAAACTTCAGGGGTATCTGGCATAATGTGGACAGTGGTTTTATCTTTATCCCAAGCTTCTGTATAGAGGCGCTAAAACAAACAAAAAAGATGTGACTAGTACAGGCTAGTAATGAATAGATAAATTAAAAAAATCTCGTTCTTAATGAGAGTAAAGACAGTCTACTCTGTGAGTTGGTATTTTAGAAAAAAAAGTTTTTTAATGTTTAATTATTGAGAGAGAGAGAGAATGAGTGGGGAAGGGGCAGAGAGAGAAGGAAAGGGAGAATTCCAAGCAGGCTCTGCACTGTCATCAGAGTGCTTGACACAGGGCTTGAACCAACACATGGTGAGATCATGATATTGACCTGAACTGAAATTAAGAATCAGATGTTTAACCAACTGAGCCACCTGGGCACCCCTGTATTTGTGACACCTTTAGGCCTAGATGTCTCATATCAGTAAGAAGCATACAGTACTTAAATACCACTTTAATATGAAGCAAAAGAATTAAATATGGTTTTCCTTTTATAGAAACAGATTACCATGTTTACACACACACACACACACACACACACACACACACACACTAATACCCCCTTTAAGTGAAGAAAAGACTTACATGGTTCATGGTAATAGCATTGTTTTTTGCCAAAACCATTGGGATGGAGTCCATAAGGCTAGAAAACTTGAATTTATCTGGATGCTGGCGGTAAACATGATCACTCAAAATCTGGGAAGCTCTCTTGTTCTTCTCATCCTCAAGAGAACCACTGGGTAACCAGCCAATGCCTCTTAGCCACTGAAGGTCAGCCTTGTACAAATTCTGAAATTATAAGTGACAAACCAGTAAAGCATAATTATATGCCCCTAAAGAAATAAAATTATGTATTATATTTTACTATACATTTTCATGCTTGAATGCTTGGGACATTTATAAATTTTGGTATGTCTTATGAATCGATGGAATATTCAGATTAGAAGCATATTTTGGAAAACATCTAAAATGGCAGCACAAAAAGAATGATCCAAATCTTCTAGATCAACATACCAGAGTCTTTAACCAAAGCAATGGGGGCTCTGCCAGCTCTTTCTCTGTGGGGTAATGGTGCCTCCAGATGTTTGGGGATTGGATAGGGTGTGGGCATTAATCTAGGGATATAGAACTCAGTTGTGTAAATTCAACTCCCCTTACTTTAGGGAAAATTTGATTCTTAGGAAAGCGGCCACGGTTTTTAGTTGGTCAAAGGAAAATCTTGGACTCACATCACTCTGGAGGTCATAGGCCTGCCGAGCATGGGTGACATCATTTTGGTCAGGCAGGCATGTCCACTGATGTAGGTAATTCTTATAGTCCACATCGCTGACCAAGGTCTGGCACTTCTTGGCCAGCACCAAGCCCAGCATGTCCACTGGGCTGCTGAACTTGGTCTTCCACTTCTCAAAGTCCTTCTTGTATTCTCTGTCACTCTGGATCTTGGCCACGTGCATGGACCACATCATCTTAGGGTCATCTTTAATGTCCCGGGCTCCGATGTGGTGGCCAAGCTGCTTGCGAAAGCCTTCCTTGTACTTATACTAGAGGAAAAAGATAGGTCTTGAACCTTTCAAGATTAACTTATGTTGCAATTACAAAGCACATTAACTCCCAATATTTCACAAAGCCTAGAGAACCACAGGTTTAAGTTTTTTGATGAGAAATATTAAATGCTAACTCACGCTACAAGTTTCATTTATAATAAACTTCACACAAATTCCAGCTACAAATACCTTGAGTTTATCTTCATCCCACCCTACCTCTCTGGGATCATTTTACTCTGCTTTAATTTGTTACTCCTTGGAAGATTCTGTTCAATTTAAAATTAAAGCGAGAATGCTTTAAAGTGATAAGTTGCAATCAAATCAGTATAAACAGGGGATAAAGTCTTACTTCACTGGCAATTTCTCGAGAAGCTTTTGCTGCTTTGATTGGTATGGCATCAAGGGGAAGATCGTAACCTTTTTTCTTCAACTCCTCATAACCCATTCGGTAGAGTTTCTGTTAAGAGATGAAAATCACTTTGAGAAAAACTGTTTTCCATAAACAACTATAGCAGAATGAATGCAACATGCTAAATATTTTAAGAATCCCCGACAATAGTATCTGCTCTAGAATATGCCAATGTAATTGGAAATTATGCCCATTGATTGCTACAGATCCTATTTTAAACTTTAAAGCTCTTCAATTACCCAGATCAACAAAATTAAATCTCAGCTCTTCCCAAATACTTCAGTGTATGAGGCAGAAGCAAATTGATAGAGAAAGGAAATAAAACATCATTTAGGTGCCATTTTCCAATTACCTTGGAGTGTTTCATTAGAAGTTTTTGTTAGAAAAGAGCAATGCTTTTAGTGGGGAAAAATTACGCCTGATGGGCTGTCTCTTTCATGTAGCTACGACATTGTAAAATATAGTCTATTTTACAACATAGGGCTGCCCATAGCAGGATCCGCATCTGTAGGTAGGAAACAAAATCCTTCATAATTTTTTAAATCTAAGATTTTGGGGAGGAAACTTTAAATGTTGAATTTAAAAAGTATAAGTGAAACAATTTGTTTCTCCAGATTTGTTACATAATGAAACAAGTGAGAATTTAATGCATTTTATCCAGAAACCAGATTGTTTAAAATGCCTATTGATCTTGGAATGTGTTTATATTTCAGTGATCTGTGGCATTATTCTAAAACATTATTTAATGTTAAAGTCTTTCTATTAGAGTTTAGAATTTGTCTTTAAAATATTTAATTTTTACACCTACAGATTTCTGGAGATCATGCTATGATGATGATAAAAATAAAAACAGAATTCTCCTACATGGTTTTTAAATGCTTGTTCATTTGAAATTTCATGTGTGTTGGGACTATACTAGCTAAACAATGCAGGCCCAATACCAACAACACAAATTGTCTCTGACTCTGAGAAATACCTGTCCACATATGGGAGAGCAATATAAACCATTACATTATGATCATATGTGTAATAAAGGACTATAAGGAACAGAGAGCACACACCCTCAACTCTGCCTGAGACAGGGAGTACCAATTAGATATTCAAGTTAAAAGCCACTAAATAAGAAATCTAAGTCACTTGTAGTTTATTAATTAAAATGATTCAGACATTCAAATTTACTTCCATATAAATTCAATGCCTTAGAAGCAATTAAAACTAGCTTTCTGGGGGCGCCTGGGTGGCTCAGTAGGTTAAGCGTCCAACTTCGGCTCAGGGCATGATCTCACGGTTCATGGGTTCGTGCCCCACGTTGGACTCTGTGCTGACAGCTCAGAGCCTGCTTTGCATTCTGGGTCTTCCTCTCTCTCTGCCCCTCCCCCACTCATTCTCGCTCACTCTCTGAGAAATAAAATAAATATTAAAAAAAATTAAAATGATCTTTCTGGAAATACATGCTGAATTTGGAAACTTACATCACTTGTATTGATTAAGTTTGCTTTAGCCAGAATAATGTCAGGTGTATCAGGCATGATGTGGATTTGAGTCTTGTCCTTGTCCCAAGCTTCTCTATAAAGTCTCTAAAATGTGAAATAAGAGATTTTCAGCAGTTTTGTTAGATTAGTCAATGACATCGTTAACTTTAAACAGGATTACTAAATTCATCTGAATTAAGCATTTTAACTGACAGCATAAGCAGAAAATAGGTACAGTATTTTTTTATTTGTCTGGGGAATAACTGCCTTTCAAAATATAAAGTATGGATTACCTTTTCAAATTTACAAATAACCCTGCCCATTAGAAATCAACCCAAGTAATCAGAGTCTTTGCCAAGATCGTCAAATAAAGCAGAAATTCTCCATCTGATTATAAAAGTCTCCTTCGATGTTTAATTGGGAAATAGCCCTTCCCTTCTCAAAAGAAGATGTATTCAAGGTATATCTAGAAATTAGGGAATTGCATTCTCTATGTTTTATTATTTATGGTTATACCTTATAATAATCTGGGGGGATTAGGATCCCAAGAGAATTTGGTATGGAATTTATCCAAAATCTCTTACATGTCCCAGAGCCATCCTCTTCCTTCAACAGAAGACAAGGGAACTCAAACAAAAATCTCTAACACAAGGGAGTAAAATTTTGATGAAAAACAGGATGCCTACATTGTCAGAGAAATCTCCTCCAAGATACTTATCAATTCCAGAAGATAAAATGGTAATTTCACAGTGGAGAAACCTCGTAACACCATTTTAACCAAATGACCAAAATTAAAATGATCAGTAATGGGACAGACTGGTATCTTGTATCACTGGATATGACACATGGAGGAAGATACCACATGTGTTGTCCTGCTAAGTACAAAGCATGAATGTAATCATGAGGAAACAACAGACAGACCCAAATGAGGGAGATTCTACAAAATGACTGGCCCATGCTCTTCTCCAATGTCAGGGATTTAGAAGGCAAAGGAATAGTGAAGAGCCAGTCCAGATGACAGGAGACTACAGATAGCACAAGCAAATTTAGTGTGTGATCTTGGATTGAACCCTGGGTCAGAAAATAGTTCTTATTTTGTGTAAAGGACATCCGTGGTAAAATTGAATAAGTTCTATAGACTAGTATTGTTTCAACATTAATTTCCTGATTTTGATCGCCGCACTGTGGTTAGGTGAGAGAAATGTTCTCGTTTTCAGGAAATGCACACTGAAATAGTTAGGGATAGAGAGGCATCATAAAGCAACTTACATATTTATGAAAGAAAAATAAGGAGGGAAAGTGGGGGGGACGCAAATGTGATAAATGCTAACAATTGGAGAACTGGGGTGAAGATACATATATATACATAATTATATTTATATTCATATTTATGTATTTACTATATATATGTATGTTATTTGTACTATTTTTGCAACTTTTCTGTATACTTGAAATTATTTCAATATACACAATTTTAGAACTCTCACTGGTTTTTTGGACTTGCCAATTTCCCCTTGAGGCATGCAGCGTGGGGTACAGGAGCTGGTACTTTTCTCCTTCTGGAACATGCTTACTACATAGTCCAGAGAAGCTGATTAAGATCTTCAGGACCAAAACAAAGCAAGGCTTGTGAATTTGCACATACGCTTATCCTGGTTATGCGCTAACCTTTCCGATTAAGACCAGAGATTCTCAGCCTCAGCACTACTGGTGTTGTATACTGGAGGATTCCTGGTTGCAGGCGTGCTGTTCTGTACATTTCTGTAATGTTTAGCAGCATCCCTGACTTCTATCCACTAGATGCCAGTAGCATGCCACCCTCAAGTTGTGACAACAGCAACGGTCTCTAGGTATTGCCAAATGTCCCTTGTGGGACAAAAATATACCTGGCTGAGGACCACTAAACGGGACCATTTCCTCAATGGCATGTGTCACTTTCACCACAACCCCTGCCCTGATCCCTGAAAAACAGAGAAAATGCTAATATTTGTTTATACGGAGATAGAAGTATGGGTCTATTCAAAAGGACAGATAGTAGGCTCAAGGATCAAGTGGCCCTCTTCTGAGGCCTGAGGGGATCAGTGTCTTAGCCTTCCTACAACCAGGGCACACTGCTGAAGAGGTCTGTTGTGAGACCTTAATGTTGATAAACTTCATGACTGAGGGTTTTTCTCTTGGCCACCTTATTAGTTCAGAGCTCTCTAAACAGCTCTGCTTCATGGAGAGAAAGAAACTTGGATTCCAAAAGGGGAGATGTTTTACATAAATTTGTTGCTTTATTAGCTTGCTGGATTCAAGTTGCCATCATAAAAACAGAGAGAAGAGATGAAAACTTGAATATTTATAATAAAACTAACAGGTTAGCATTTATTATAGATTTTGGGTGTAAACATTGTGAGTCTGTGAGGGGGTGATTGGGAAAAGAGCAGCTACAATTTATCAAATGCTTATTATAAACTAGTTATGAGTTTTATATAAACACTTATATGGTATGTGTAAAATATATAGATATTGTAAGTATTCAGATTCTTCTAAGACCCAATTATTATACATAAATTTAAATTTTCTTATCAGTTCCAGAATCTCAGTGCACATAATTCAACTTTCTGTAATTTTCAGAGTTATGCTTCTCAATGAACAATGATGAGTAATCTTTCCCCTTCTTGGCATTGAATTACTCTACACTACTATCTTTCATTTATTTTATTCAATAAATATTGAGAGTTACATGTTAGACACTGGTGTCAGTGCTGGCGAAGGAAATAACTTGAAGATGGGATACACACACATATGATATGTATACATATGTGTATATGTGTATGCATATGTATATGTGTATGTCTTCTTTACTTGTCTTGATTCAGCTTAACAAGATGCATTATAATCACCTGGCAGAAAATACACTCTTTTTAACAGTTCTACTTCGTTTGTGCAAAGTACTCAATATACTGCCCTCTCAGCACTCTGTCCCAACAACAACACAAAATCTAGGTCTTTAATGCATTCAAATTTCAAAGAAAAAAAGTATGTTCAATAGTTTTCTCATTTTCATAATGGATGGATGGATGGATGGATAAATAGAGAAAAGGCAAGTAAATAAGAAAGAAAGCTTTAGGTGACAAAAATTGGTACTAACTCATTTTACATGATCCAGTACAGGGTAGTTGATAATTCAAATGAAGCAACCAAGTATTAAACATTATGCTATGTTGTGCCATGCGGTATGATATGCTATGCTATTCTACTAATTAATTAAGCAAATGTTACTGAGCTCCTACCAGGTACCAGGTACCAGGTACTATAAATTTTCCTCTTTATTTCTAAAGAGTTACTCACATCACTCCTATTTTTGGCATTTGTCTTTGCCAGAACTATGTCCATGGCATCAGGAATGCTGGTGAACTTGTTTCTGTCTGGAGGCTGACGGTATTTCTTCTCACTGATGATTTCTGAAGCCCGTTTGTTCTTTTCTGCCTCCAAAGAACCCAGGGGACTCCATCCTATGCCTCTCAGCCACTCAAGGTCAGACTTATACAGATTCTGTGAAAATACAAGGCACTCCATCAAAACCCCATCCTCATCTGGACCTACAACTCAAGTGATTCTATGTATTACAAACAGATGCACTTTAGACATTCAACAATAATTCCTCTTTTTACTCTCTGTCTCTGACTAAATAGCTACTCAAATGGCAACATATAAGCTATTGAATTAAAAATAAACTGACCTCACTCTGTAGTTGATAAACTTTTTTAGCTTGAATAACATCGTTCTGGTCAGGCAGGCATGTCCACTGATGCAGGTGGTTCCTGTAGTCCACATCACTGACTAAGGCCTGGCATTTCTTGGCCAGCACCACTCCTAACATGTCCACTGGGCTGCTGAACTTGGTCTTCCACTTCTCAAAGTCCTTCTTGTATTCTCTTTCACTCTGCATCTTGGCTACATTCATGGACAATACAAGCTTTGGATCATCTTGCAGGCTCCGGAATCCAATATGGTGGCCAAGTTGTTTGCGGTAGCCTTGTTTGTATTTAAACTGAAATCAAAGGAAACAGTTCTTTTATTAGCATAAACAGAGGTCAAGTGAAGCTCAACAATTTGAGCTTAAAAACTCAATTTGCTTTATTTGCATGTTTATTTTCCAAAATGAAGTGAGAAAAGCGATGTCCATGTTAACTTAGTAAGAAATATGAAAACTGACCTAGAGGCTTCTAAAAAAAAAATGCAACATAGTTCATTATCAAGAGAGGTTAAGATAAAAAATATATGCCATGATATGCTAGACATTGTGTATATTGACCTCAGGGTAATATTTGTGATAAACAAAGGTAAAGCTCTTGTGATAGCTTTATGGAAATGATGGAAAGGTATGGGCTGAATGGCAGAAAAACAAGGAAGGTTCAGGATTTTACGATCAAGCCTAATAGCATAGATTAATGTATTAAGCAGTAGGATTTTTCGTGGTTTGCCATATGGTTATGTCCTATAAACTTGTCCTGTTCAGGATCCATATCTTCATGCACATGTAGCTAAAAATAGCTAAATATATTAGATTAGAAAGAAAACTCCACAAGACCTCAACATATTGCTAAGATGTGTCAAAATGAATTACATAAATTTAAGTGAAATCCAGTATTTAGATCAATTGGGAAAAACCTGCATTAATGCTGGATGACAGTAGTAATAGTGACAATAATATGACAGTAATGATAGCATTTACTTGATGCTAGATGCCCAGCACATGTTACATTTCATGGAGTTAGGTTCTACTCTCTTGGGTTCTACCCAGCTTCATGGTTATGTATATTAAAAATACCCAGAAATTTAAGTTGACTAAAAGCTTGATATGGGCAATCTTATAAAATTTCTTATAAAAGTAATGTCATGGATTCTGTAGGGGCACAGATAAAAGCAGGTCAGAAACTCATTTACTGTGGGTATTCCTGGGTGGCTCAGTTGGTTAAGCTTCTGACTTCAGCTCGGGTCATGATCTCACAGTTCAGGAGTTCAAGCCCCATGTTGGGCTCTGTGCTGACAGCTCAGAGCCTGGAACCTGCTTCAGATTCTGTGTCTCCCTCTCTCTCTGCCCCTCCTCTGCTTGCACTCTGTCTCTCTCTCTTCCCAAAATAAATATTTTTAAAAATTTTATTTTAAAAAAATTAAAAAAGAAGAAAAAAGCTCATTTACTCTGACCTGACCTCTTATAACAAGAAAACAACACTACATTTTGGGGCCCAATCTTGAGAGGGGTAATGAAAAAAAATATAATAAATCACAGGTAGAGTGAAGGACTTTTAAAGAATATTGAATATTCAGAATATTGTAGGACTTATAACTCTAAAACCAAAGAATAAGAAACTTGTAATATGAAGAGATATCAGGTGGCAGAGGAAATAAGTTCCTTTGTGATGTTCCAGAACACAGAACTAGAGTTGGTTGATAACTTATTCAAGTTGAAAATAGGGAACTATATAATAAAAATTAGAGATGCTCTAACAAGGAAATGACCTGCCCTGAAGGACAAAATTCTTATATGTATATGTATCCATAGACCAGACAGCCATCTTTTGGAGATGGAGAGAAGGCAGGACACTGAGTAGGAGACTGAATTAAATAGCCTTCATGTTATCCTCTAACCAAAATCTATGATTCTAATTTATTAAATTAAGTACGCATAAAAATAGCTCTAATTTCCTTAAATTTTATAGAATATGAAAACCATTTGAAACTGAGAGGAGATATAATCTCTACAATGGGGGGAAAATTCACTTAAAGTTAATTTTAGGGGAAGATTTCAAGATTACCTAAGAAATTAGGTCCTATCAAATGTGTAGTGAGAAAATCAGTGATGCTATTTCTTCAGTTTCTAAATCATCACCTAATGGGGAGTACATAACATTAAATGTTCCTGGGGGAACATTCAAGCATCATTATTGCTGTAGGTTCATCAGTATATCGATTCATTTAAATAAGGAATTGACCCACAAGCCAATAAGTAATAATAAATCATCTAATTAATTTCTAACATTTCTGGAATGCCACAAATTAACTGATTTAAAGAGAGTCACTGGGTGTTACATGTAAGTGATAAATCACTAATTTCTACACCTGAAACCAGTTTTACCATATATGGTAACCAACTAGAATTTAAATAAAAACTTGAAAAAAGTAAACAGAATTTGCCCTTATATTCTTAGAATTCATGGTGCTGTCTTTAGACATACTTTCTCCAGCCCAAATCCTTGTTTTATTTTAAAGATTTTAAGAGGTAGTTCTTCCCTCTGAAATTCCAAATTTCTCTGGATTTTTTGAGGCTAATTCTTAGAATTAACATAATGACATGTTTATCTATACACAGAATATCTAAGTCAAATATTTATAAACACTTAATTAGTCAATAGGAATTACACCTAATTTATTTACCAAATTAACTACCCTTTTCAATCATAACCAAAAGTGGACTTGGAGAACAAATACCCAACA